GATGCTTGGACTGACAGCGGCCACCCTGGGGGCGAGTCCATACTTGGTGTACCATATCTTCGAGGAAGAGTTCATGCAGGCCAGCGCGATGATAAAAGAAAAACAGAGAACCTTCCTATTTCTGTCACTCCTAGCCATCCCAATAACTTCAGCTTTGAGCATGGTGTTCCTAGCTTGGCTGGGCCTGAATGTCTTGGGCCCGCACAAACGACGAATGAGTGGAGGAACCGAGTATTTCAGGCTCTGGCTGTGTTTTACCTTTTTCACTGTCTGTGGGTATTTCCTGCTTGCTGCTGTCATCTACAAGTATGCGATATGATAAGATGGGATCGAGTGGTGTTTGGGATATGGAGGGAGTGTTTCATCGGAGAGGGTTCGAGAATCGACATGGCGTTGAGGAATGTTGACAAATACCGTTTTCGGACATGGACGAACGCGTCCAGGGAAAGGGTGCGGCGTTTCGCTGACACTCCGCAAGCAGTGGTTTCTTGTAGACACAGCAATAGACAATACAAGATGAGGGAGAATCAAGTTGGCAGTGCCCATAATGGTAGAAGAACAACAGAAAGAAGGACGTTGGTTGGCGTCAACTGCGGTCGCTCAATCGCAGGCTTGGCACGATGGCCATCGTTGAGGCTGCGCAGTTGGAGACTCGCCGTCAACCTGCGTCTCCACCACCATCATCAACATTATTCCAGGCCACCACCAGGTCTGAGCCTCTTTGCATACTCACCGGCTTGGGTGCAGAAGGCCCTCTTGCCTCTCCGCGCAAACGCATACCACGCGCAGACGCTACCAGTGCCGTCTCCCCCTTTACCTGCCAACCATTGTCATGTTCAGATAACTCCAATCACCCCCAGTCGAGGTCAACCTCGCTCGCTTTCAACTACGACGTGTTCAACGGCAGTCCGCGGAGGCCACCTCCCACCTCCATCATGAAGAGAGGCGGCAATACCCTACAAGAAGAGGAGGAGACACTCATGAGTGGGAGCCGGCGGTCCTCCAATGATCCTTATCCAACTCCTTCAGAAGAAAGCGTGTCCACTGTCTCGACAGCGTCGCTTGTTCTCGAGAGCCTAAACTCTGTCTTTGCCGCAAAGGAGCCTCTTCAACAGCCCTCAAACTACCGAGACGATGAGAGCGATCTCGAGCTACCTCGATTCAATGACAAGAACTACACCGTTGGCAGCCAACGCATGTCCAAAGGTCTTCGTCGAGCAGTCTGGATAGTCTCGATTGTTGGCATCATCGGATGGGTGCTGGCTGTGGTGTTCTTTGTGGCGGGTGGTCGGTATAAGCATGCGTCCACTCTGGATTACGACCACGATACACCCATGAAGAGTTCGGCAAAGAAAGTCACACTCGCAGAACTACAGTCAGGGCAATGGTTGCCCAGGTATGCCAATATTGAATGGACACCTGGACCCAGCGGAGAGGATGGGTTGCTGTTGGAGATCAATCAGCCGAACCAGGATTATTTGGTGGTGGAAGACATCCGAAGTGGTACATCATCCCAAGCAAACGCCTTTAAACGTACCACCTTGGTGAAAAGCGGTTGGATCAAATACGGCGGACAGCAGCTTTGGACGTCAGAATTCTGGGTGAGTCCAGACATGAAACATGTGCTTCTGATGGCGAGCCCGGAAAAGGTCTTTCGACATTCTTTTCTTGGACTGTATTTTATCCTCGATGTTGAGACACAGAATGTCCAGCCGTTAGATCCAGCATTGCCGGAGACCAAGATTCAGCTGGCACAGTGGTCGCCTAGGAGTGATTCGATTGTGTTTACGAGAGATAACAATCTCTACCTCAGACACCTCTCGTCGCCACAAGTGACAACGATCACGACCGACGGAGGTCTCGAGTACTTCTATGGCATTCCCGACTGGGCCTACGAGGAAGAAGTCTTCGCGACCAACACGGCCACTTGGTGGGCAACCGACGGCCAGTATCTGGCTTTCCTGCGCACGAATGAGACCACTGTCCCTGAATACCCCGTTCAATTTTTCCTGTCCCGTCCCAGCGGGAAGAAACCCATTGAAGGGCTCGAGAATTACCCAGAGGTGAAAGAGATCAAGTACCCAAAGGCTGGAGCCCCGAACCCTGTTGTTGACATGCTGTTTTATGACATTTCCAAAGGCGAGGTGTTTTCTGTCGACATTGAGGGCGGTTTCCCCGACGAAGACCGTATCATCTTCAATATTGTATGGGCAGACGGTGGAAAAGCATTGGTCTCGGAGTCGAATCGAGAGAGCGATCGTGTTAGGGTTGTCTTGGTAGACGTACCCACTCAAACAGGCCATACCGTGAGGGTCGTGGACCTCAAAGACGTCGATGGCGGCTGGATCGAACCTACCCAGCATACCAGATACATACCTGCTGACCCTTCCAAGGGGCGAGCGGAGGACGGCTATGTCGACATCGTCGTCTCTGACAATGGTAACCACCTGGCCTATTTCTCTCCCCTCAACAGCTCAACTCCGGTCATGCTGACCAGAGGCGGTTGGGAGGTGGACGGTGGGCCGGCAGCCGTCGACCTGGAAAACAACTTGGTCTATTTTGTTGCGGCCAAAGAAGCGCCAACTCAACGCCACTTGTATAGCGTCAAATTGGATGGGACAGGCATGAAGTCACTCGTGCCTACTGATGAAGCTGCATACTGGGAGTCAAGCTTCTCTTCCGGCGCAGGCTATGTGAGTCTGAAATACACTGGGCCTGGCATTCCTTTTCAGAAAGTCGTCTCTACGCCAACCAATCCGGACAAAATCGAGGAAATACTAGAAGACAATCAAGATTTGGCCAAGATGGCCTCGTCCCACGCGCTTCCACATCAGGTGTTCCAGAACATCACCATTGATGGTTACACGCTGCAGGTGGTCGAACGGCGGCCTCCTCACTTTGACCCCAAGAAGAAATATCCCGTCCTCTTCTACCTCTACGGCGGACCCGGCTCACAAATGGTCAATCGCCGCTTCCACGTCGACTTTCAATCGTATATCGCCAGCTCACTTGACTACATCGTGGTTACCGTTGATGGCCGCGGGACTGGCTTTATAGGCCGCAAAGCCCGCACTATCGTCCGCAATGAACTCGGTACCTATGAAGCCCACGATCAGATAGCCGCTGCAAAGGCGTGGGCCGGCAAGCCGTACGTGGACGCTGACCGCATGGCTATCTGGGGCTGGTCGTACGGTGGCTTCATGACATTGAAAGTCCTGGAAACGGATGCGGGCGAAACTTTCAAATACGGCATGGCGGTCGCGCCTGTGACGGACTGGCGGTTCTATGACTCCATCTACACCGAACGATATATGCGCACCCCTCAGAATAACCCTCTCGGCTACTCCAAATCAGCCGTCAGCAACGTCACGGCGATATCGCAGAACGTGCGGTTCTTGATCATGCACGGCGTTGCGGATGACAACGTTCACATGCAAAACACTTTGACTCTACTAGACAAATTTGATCTGGCAGGCGTTGAGAACTACGACGTGCACTTCTTCCCCGATAGCGATCACTCGATACAATTTCACAATGCGAATCACATTGTGTACGATAAGTTAGCGAACTGGCTGGTTAATGCGTTCAATGGGGAGTGGTATCGGACCGAGGATCCAAAGCCAGTTGACATGGGAGCTTAGTGCCAGGAAAAGTTCGGTAGGAAGGATGCACAAAGTGTTGGTCCCTCCTTTCGCCTCTGTTTTGACATGCTTAGCCATTTGCTATGTCCTCTAGCACAGGACATGTGTCTGGTCTAGGAGTATTACATTGTCTGTGTAATCGTTCGGTCGACGGGGAACCTGTTTTTTGCTTGAGGATGAGCATGGTCCCTATATATCAATGTCTATACTAGCCTGTGTGATGCCATATTTGGAAGAACGGTCTTCAATGAGGAATAACATGACCACTCAGTCGAGGCAGCGGACAGTCCACCCTCCAATCCTTGTCGCGTGTATCACATTATGAGTAGGGGTCATCAGAATGTATTTCCTAGCGGGCAGTCACATTGACTTTATGGTCACAGGCTGACTGCTTCACGTCCTGAGGCACAGACCAGGCAGATCACTCTGCCGTGTCCAGTGCTGGCGATAACGGAATGTTGGCACAGCAGCCAAGGTCATTGTGGTATTTCCCAGATTAAGCAGTGCACCTGAACGTGAACTGAAATTCAGTGAATCACTTACTTCCAGCTGTGCGGGGGAAAACATACTGGCATTGTCCTTCGACTTCTTGTGAAATTGGCTTTACGACTGCACTTTGTTGAAAGAGACAGTTTGGGGAACCAATCAGGAAGAGAGAGAGAATGAATAGGCTTAGACTGTCGTGAATAAACTTAAGCTTAACGGAACAAGTGACGACTTTGAGCCTCGGATATCGTCGCCAGCAACGCCACAAGTGACGCTATATCTTGGCACATGCAACGCTTATCCTGTTTCGAAATAGCGTCCTTTGTGTGTCTACGGGTATTTAACCTCGCGACCTTTTCTTCCAACTGGCGCTCTCTCTGTCCATATTTTCCATTCTTCTCCTCTCTCCAGCAACAAACAGCAAAATGTTTAGACAATCTGATCACGTAGAACACTCTCAACCTTACACCACCACAGACGCGATGTGGGGACGTCCACTTGAGCCCTACAAGCCCATGGAATGCTTCGTGTACCGGGGTTCGGTCGCGGGCGGGATCCGGACAAAGCCACGTGAAGTTAAGGACGATCGCAATGGAGTGAATTCCCCAGGCAGTGGTACAGTCACTCCATCTGATCTTCTTTGTGAAGTGTCCGACTAACTTTTGGGTAGGCTCTTTGGCTCCGAGTACCAGTGGTGACCTCTTCCTGCAGAAGCCAATCTTTGATACTCAGTTTCCACGAAGCTCTTTATCTTGTCCGCCTGCTTTGAAAGAGTGTCAAACACCTCATATCAACTCGGATTCCAGAGCCGGTAAAGAGATCTTAGCCACGAAACTTCAGACTTCGTTCTGTCCTCTCCCTCCTATCGAAATCATGGATTTTGGAGGCCCGATATACGATACGGCGTCTCGGACGTGGCCGATTTCATACTCAGTTTTCAACGATGGATCGATCGACGAAATCATCCACGCAGCCACCATCCGTGCACCTGGAGACTTCAATAGCGAAGCATCGCACAAGGTATGAAATCTCCCACAAGCTCAGTGCCTCTGCTAACTGGTTAAGGTTTTCGGTGCAATCCAGACCGTCACCCTAGCGGCTGGAAAGGCCTACATCAACATCTGTCATTGCCGACGGCCCGGTCGCACCCCTCCCCCTTCCTTCAACGGAATTTTGCTTTCTCATGACAGTGATTGCCACGAAACTGTGGGCTTTTCGGGCTTCTGGCTAGAAGGTTTCAAATTCGTGACAGCTGCACACTTTCTCTCGTCCAATCCACCGTTGAGTGAGGAAGAGAAAAAAGATACACTGGACCTTCTCAAGTACGCTTCGCCGCCACCGTCCACCAGAGCCATGAGAGCCCGTGTTTCGTCACAATTTAGCTCCCAGGACTGCAACCACTATGAGCACCTGGTGGGTCAGCTCCATGTTCCACAAATCTACGATGTTCAGTTAGCAGACCATAATGAAGCCGCCGACATTGCCGTCTTCAGACTAGCGGTACACGAAACGAGACGACCCCAGGTATGGATCAAGAACAGCCAGCTCAGCTCCGCAGCTGCCAATTTTCCAGGCACAGTCCCCAGCATGGTCTTCTCTACGTACTACCCAGCTTCTGATTACCCCGTCAATCCGATAAACAATCTGTCGCCCGTTGAGAAGAAAGAGCAAGAGAATTGCACCAGATTCGAGTTGATGGTCAAAGAGCGGGTGCGCAAAGGCAAGCAGTGTGGAGACAACTCCGACCAGGTACACCTGCCCCGCTTCGAAGACATCTTCCATGCAAATTGCCGATCTATTGGGTTCGGGCATATCGCAGAACCCAGTCCACGGGATGTTTCGCATCGTGGCGCTGTTTTGCGTACCCACAGCATTCCTGGATTCGCAGGATGTTCCGGCGCAATGATTGGGTGTCTGGAGACTACTCATTGTCCTACTCCCGAAGGTCTGCTAGTCCCGAATTTGTCAGTTAAAATCATCGGCATTTTCAAAGGCGAGAGCGGTGATTGTATGAACTACAATACTTTCAGCGCATTCACTCAGTGTGGCGTCGATAGCATAGTCAATTGCTAAGTTGGACGATACCTGTCAAATTGGTTGAGAAAACACTCTGGGGTTGTTTTCTTCCTCAAAAAGGAAATGAAGAAAAAGACTTCGAAAAGATAGTTCGAATCCGGGTTGCAGGGTCGACACAGAGTCAGAGTCACTCTAGGGGCAACGATAGATGAGAAAGCGGTTCGGTCTAGGGCTCAGCACCTAGTCGAGACGAGAACGGGCAAACCGGAAACATTGGAACCCAAAAAGAAAGAAAGAAAGCCAAAGAAGAGAAAAAGGAAAAAAAAAAAAAAAAAAAAAAAATCATACGAAACAGAGAAAAGAAACTGGAGGCAGATGAACACCCAAGACAAGGGCAAGGCAAGACAAAGGCTGGGGCAAAAACTGTCTTGGATACATAATGAAAGGGTCGGAAGAGGCAAACCCGCGGAGGGACACGGGGTTGGATTGAGATTGGACGTTGTTTGCACGTACGCAGGTCAAACTTTCCAGGAGGGCCTCTGAGTTGTACGTACCAGAGGCTCCACCGCGCGCGGCGGCGAGGGCGAGGGACGGATCCAGGCCAGAAGTTGTACCGGGGTTCTGTTGTTGACCGGCCAGTGCCATGATTAGAGTAGTGATAATGCTAATGAAACCTGCAACCTGCAACCTGCCAACCAGCTAACCGGCTGAGCCAGCCCTTGCCTGCGCAACCTTGCCTTTTCGGATCGGATCGGATCGGATTCCTGCGTGAGCCTTGACTACGGGGGATGCGTTTCAAGGCAAGTCGATTCTTTGAATCATTCTCTCCCCCCGCCATGTGTGTGTGTGTGTGTGTGTGTGTGTTCCTGTCTTTCATGGCGTGTTTCTTTCAATCCACTCTTCGCCCCACCAATATGTCACTTTCCTTGTACCAACCAGAAGAAGAACATCTTCACCAAGGTCCAGTCTGCCTAGGCGAGGTGAATGACCTGGCGACCTCGCGGGTTGCGATGATCCCCTTCGCATTACATTGCACATTGCACCTGCACTTGGTAATTCGTCGCGTGTAGTTTGAGAATGGCCATATTAGGCTTGATTAAACCTCCGCTAGTCAAAGTTTAAGAAATTAAGCTTAGTTTCAGCCGAACGAAGCTTATACCGTGGAGGCCCTATGTGTATGAATGTGTCTCCACACTTGCCTCTTTGGAGTACTCCACCATGAAAAGAGAACGTCCTCGTCGAAATATTCGCCGCTTGCATGGCCATTCCTGGAGCTATAATAACGGACACTAACCGAATGAGCGGACTGCCCCACTCAAGTAGCCGACTTTGCATTCAAGTTCCGGCCATTGTCGTACACCCGATCACCTGTCCCGTTGATGATGTGGTTGATGGCGCTGAACGGCTTCCCATTTAGCCACTGCGTGGTCAAGTGGTTCATCTGGATGCCGGATCCCGTCGGTGTCTCAATGGCATTGTCAAGCTCGACCTGGTTGTCGAAATTGCAGTAGATCCCGAGGCCCTTCCCGACATGGGTGCTGACATGGTCCCCTACTTTGTACGACGCATAGCCTTTGCCGCCAGAGGACTGTTGCCACGAGTTCTGGTCGGGGATGTCGTAGGGAATCTCCGACTGGTACATATAAACCTGGCCACCGTTACCATTCCAAATGGTCTGGAACTTTTGAAAGTGCTCGACGAACAGGCCGTAGGCGACCACGTTCTGACCAGCAACCATCAGTCCATTCTCAGCTGAATTAACGGTCCAACCAACCGCCCCAGGGTTGCCGTGGTCTGCGCGCCAGATCCAGATGTTGTCGAGGATTACATTATTGGAGTTGATGGTGACGCAATTGAGTGTCGAGCCTGCTGCTGCTCCCCCAACGCGGCAGGAGAGATCGAACAATGCGGTGGGGTTTGTGCTGTGATCACTTGAACTGCTCGCATCCCCTACGACTAGAAGCTGGGAAGATCGTGTGGAACCTGCGTCGAAGATAATCCCACTGATAGATACGCCGTCGACGTCATCGATGACCATAGCCGGCGTGCCGTTGTCAGGGACTAATGTGGCCATCCCAAGACCTAAGATGACGGTGTCGGGGTATTTGACCTCGAGGCTTCTAGAGAGATGATAGACGCCGGGTGTGAGAATCAAGTGGTAGCCTTGGTGAAGGGCGTCGTTGATCGAGTCAGCAGTATCTGAAGTCGTTTTGGCAATATAGAATTGGCTGATGGGTAGCGTTGTGGCTGAGTCCTGGACTGTAGACCAGCTTGTCCCCTGGCTGTCCTTCTTCAACTTCGGCACTTGCACGGCGTAGTCGTTCTCAAAGATGAGATAGGGCTTTTCACGGATGACAGGGGTCTTATCAATCACCGTGAAAGGTTGATCGGGCCACGATCCGGATGGAGGTTGCTCGTCGCCGACAAAAACCATGTTCCAGACACCGCCAATCCATCTAATTAGCACCATGTCACGTTAGCGAGTGGCCATGAGACGCGGCTTCCAGCAGGAATAACGTCAATTTCTCAAAGTGGTTGTGCAGAAGGTCTGTGTCGTATTCGCATCATATTTCTCACCCAATAGCGGAGCAGACCCGGGGGATTCGACGTGATTGAGGGATCGCTCCATTATCCGAGGCGATGGATGGACTTACTTTGTGAGAGTCGAATTGCGCGATACAAATTGCTGCTGGGAGCCGGAAATGATTTGGTTATCAATAGCCGAGTCTGCAATGAATCCCCCACTGGAATAGTTGGTCGGATAGCGCCAGTCGAAGAGAAACAGCTGTCCGTGAACGATATGCACGCGGCGCAAGAAGGTCGCCTGAGAGACAGCCCAGCCGCTAATATCTCCGTTGGTCGTAGGGACGATGGAGAGATTTTCGACGCCACGCCAGAAGCTGTTCAGTGCCAGGCCTTCGGTACTGGTCGCCAACGATTGTACGCCACCTGTGATCGTCACATCGTTCGGCGAATGCCCTAGTCCGTGGACGGTCATGTAGTAGCCCACGTCTACGTTGAGATTGTATGATCCCGGTTTGAAGAGATAGGCATGGCGTTCAGGACCGAATTGGTTGGTGTCCTGACCCTGGAAGATGGGGACTATGGTTGAGGTGATGTCAGCCATGGGCATCGACGGGTCGAAGATGTGCACATTGGGACCAAAGTCGACTGGGTTTGGGTTCGTTGGTGTGGGACGGGATGTTGATGTCATGTTGCTTCGCCGCTCGAGTCTACAGTGTGAATAGTGAGTAGGAGGATGCCCTAGATGCTATGCTGTGAGGGAGTAGTTCGAAGTTCTTGCTCTCCTTACATGCAAGAGCCACAGAATGACCGATTAAGATAGCGCCAGGGAGCCTTTTTATACTCGACAACAACCTACCTCTTTGTCTATTCGAGTGTTACAATGGTGGTCTCAATGCACCACCTTCTCTTCAGCTGCAGGGGCACTTGCCTCGTTCAAGCAACGCAGAGAGGGGAACCGAAGGCGGTCTAGCAGCAGCATCTAGGCTTCGATTGGAGATGGAGCATGTGGATATTTGCAGCAGGTCGTAACCCGCAGCCGTAGGCTCTTGTCCTCAGCTGAACGGTGATGATTCGCAAAAGAGCTCCTCATGCAGGGGGCTTGCAACCGGTCAAGAAAGTTTGCCTAGCTGCAGCCAGCCGGACAGAGCATGTCAGCTAGTCGATCCGTGTGTGGGACAAGCTCGTGTCTGTTGGTTGTCATGCGGACAAGAGTAGCTGAAGCAACACGAGGTTTGAGAGTTGAAGAGTGGAAGCTGAGAGGACCATCAAAGGGCGAGTTTCGTCTTGGCGCAACACGTGATCTTAGGGTCTTCGGCAGACTTTCCTTGTTTGGTGTCCAAGTGTCGGCCTTGTCAGCCTCATTCAGCCTTGTCTTTGTGGAATAAAAGTACGCAAAGTAAAGAGTCGACGTGCGAGAATGGGAGTTGAGCTGTTTTTCATTGCTTCAGTATAAATTGTACATATGTATGCATGCATCTTCCCTCCGCGCAAATCCATTGAGCGAGGTGTGTCATCGTAGTCGTCGTCGTCCCTGGTCGTGCATACATGCTCTTCTCCTCATGTCATCGGTCGCGGGCAGCCAAATCGACAACAAAACCTTCTCTTAGATGATCATACAAAATCCCCAACACAAGAATCATCCCAGGTTATTCAGCCACGATATGGCATCTGGCCATCAAAGTCTTGCATGATCATATCCCACTGTGCCCAGTCCATGGGCATATCCCCCACATCCAGGTCTTGCGCCAATGTCGGCTGCGACGCGAGCATAATGCCGTCTCCCGCAAGAGGTGTCGGGATGGGCTGAAATGCTGGGAGCGGCAGCTGACACGGAGCCCCCGCGCCGCCAGAGAAACCACCCATAGGGAGTTGGGAAGTATCGAAGTTGCTGGACGATTGCTCCGACAAGGGAGCAGTGTCCCACCCAATCCCAGTCGAGTATTGTTCGCTGCTCTTGTCACCGACGGCCGCACTATCGACATTTTCGGGCGCATTGACTGACGAACCCGTAGCGGCCGTCGTTGCACGCATGAGCGGCCCACTTTCGCGCTGTTCGCGGAGGATCCTAATATACTCGGGCGTCACCTTCGGGAAAACACCACGGGTAGTCTCGCGCAGTGCAGCTTCCCTTGCGCTATAGGCTTTGAGACATAGACTTCCGACTGCGACATGCAAGGGCTTTTTGTAATCAGTCACAAACTGAGGATGATGCCGGTAGATCTCGTCGATCTCTTGCCATGCCTTGTCGACTTCGTCGCCAAGTGTGCGTTCTTTGAGTTCGTTGAGAATGTAGATGAAGGCTTGCCATGCAAAGAAGACTCTGGTGTGCCACATAAACCTCCGCAACTGCTTGGACGAATGGGCCAAATTGATGCCTTCGAGAAGTTTCATCGAGATGTTCCAGAGATATTCTTTTTCAGAAGGAGGCACATCCTTTTCTTTGGCCCATTTGCGGGGATGGTGAGCCATGAGCCTCATGCTGTTGATGGCTCCTCTCCCGATTATGATCGCCATGAATTGTATGGGATTGG